TATATATATATATATGTAATAAAATGAGATGATTTATTTTTGATAAAAGGACTCACAATTACTTACAACCATCTTATGTGAAATTTGATAGCCTGGGTATGTCACAAAGTTCGAAAAACTTTTTTATTGAATTTTGAGCTTGGTCAATGAAATAAATGCTACCACCCAATAGCCAATTTTAATTGTATAAAATGAGACGATTTACTTTTGATAAAAGGAACTCACAATTACTTACAGCCATCTTATGTGAAATTTGATAGCCTGGGTATGTCACAAAGATCGAAAAACTTTTTTATTGAATTTTGAGCTTGGTCAATGAAATAAATGCTACCACCCAATAGCCAATTTTAATTGTGACCACTTTGTACCAGAGATAAATGGTCTTCTTATATACTTTTTCCTTTTTCTTATGTCGCTCTCTCTCTAACACACATTTCCAACAGTGCCATGCCCCTTTCTCTTTCTTGCGGTTCCCTTTCTCCCCCAAAGTCTCTCTCTAGCTATGCCTCTTCTATCTTTATATCTAACTCCGTTTTTCCTTTAGTTATGCCATTCTCTCTCTAACTACTTTCTTTTACTCTCTCTAAATGTGTCATTTTTTCTCTAAATGTTTAGTCCCACATTTAAGAATGTATCATGTTTGCAATATCTTAAAAAGGCGATCACATTCCACTTGCCAATGGCTTGGGCAGGGAATGAGAAACTAAACCACCAAAACACGCGTTCATGTGCTCAACATATATGTCTCTCATTGTGCTTTCTTTCGTTAATATTCCTCTTTCTAATGTGCCCTGTTTTTCCTTGTCTTTCTCTCTCTCTAACAGTTCTCTTTTTAATATTTCTCTTTACATGGAACGTGCATATATCTCTCTCATTGTGCTTATTCTTTCTTTAATATGTTTCTTTCTAATGTGCCATTTTTTCCTTGTCTTTTCTCTCTCTAACCGTTCTCTCTTTAATATTTCTCTATCTAATGTGCCCTTTCTTCTTTGTCTCTCTCTCTAACACCTCTCTAAGAGTTGCCTCTCTAATATATATTTTTTTCTAATGTGCCCTTTTTTTCTTATGTCTTTCTCTCTCTAAAACCTATCTCTAGCAGTGCTATGCCCCTTCTCTTTCTTGCCATTCCCTTTCTCCCCTTAAATTCTCTCTCTAACCGTGCCTCTTCTATCATTATATCTGACTTTTTTTTTCCTCTAGTCATGCCATTCTCTCTCTAAATGTATCCTTTCTTTCTCTAAATGTTTAGTCCCACATTTAAGAATGTGTAACGTTTGCTATTTCTTAAAAAGGTAACTTGCCAAAATTTTGGGCCGTGAATGAGAAACTAAATCACTAGAACACCCATTGATTTGCCCAGTAACCCATCAGCACGTGAAACATATATTACATATAGTACCCATGCGTGAAACAAACATATATGCCTCTCTCATTGTGCCCTTCTTTCTTTAATATTTCTCTTTCTAAAGTGCCCTTTTTTCCTTTTTTTTCTCTCTCTCTAATATTCCTCTTTCTAATGTGCCCTTTTTTCCTCGTCTTTCTCTCTCTAATATTCCTCTTTCTAATGTGCCCTTTTTTCCTTATGTCTTTCTCTCTGTAACACTCTGCTCGCCCTAAGAGAACGACCATGCATCCATAATGCTCCTTACCTGGCTTGACCCCATAAATCTTTTCCATTGATTTGAAATAGTTCCATCCATCATTAACCAAACCAGCATGGCTACAAGCAAAAAGAACACCCACCATAGTTGTATAATTTGGTTTAATCCCTGTTTCTTTCATTCTTCAAAGAGGTTGAGAGCCTCTTTTCCATGGCCATTTTGAGCCATATCCAACGCCATAGTACTCCATGAGATCACATCTCGCTCTACCATCTTATCGAAAGCCAAGCTCACCTCCTCTAGACTTCAAGTACAAGTTCAAGAGTGCGTTATTTACTATCAAGTCCATGCCTGTTTTAAAACTATGGGCATGTACTTGTCGGCCTAGCTCTAGCGAAACCAAGCCTATACAAGCTCTAAGGATACTGGTTAAGATAGCTTCCGTTGGAAAAAAGCCAGCCCGTTTCATTCTCTCGAAGAACTTAAATGCCTCAACTACATCACCATTTTGGGCAATTGCCCCAATTATAGATTCCAAACAACTCGATCGCCAGTTTCCATTTCATTGAAAACACTAAGCCCACTCTCCAAATCTCCATTTTTTGCATACATATCCATCAAAGCACTTCTACCCAAGACATCCAATTCTAAACCACACTATAAAATCAAAGCATGCACCAGTTCAAGTGTTCTAATCTTGCCATATGTTCTTAAAATGGTCGAAAAAATGCACATATTGGGCATTATACCCTCTCTATGCATCAAAACCAAGAGTCTCGAAGCTTCCTCATTGGAACCTATATTAGTGTATGCCGATATCATGGTGGTCCAAGAAACAACGTTTCTATGAAGCATTTTGTCGAAAACTTTGCGAGCTTCCTTTGAAAGGCCAAATTTTGAATACATGTTAAGAATGTATTTGGGGTGAAACCAGTAGATATGAGCTTACCTTTTTTGATTGCTTGGTGTCTGATGCATCAGTTGAATATAAGATGGGTCTCTGAAAACTCTATTTCTTTCTAAAATGGCCATGGTGGGTATGGCGTTTTTCAAGAGGTTGCAGAAACGGTTAAATTCATTAACCAAGTTAGTAGAAGCTGGTTCGTGGTTTGGAAATGGCGAGGATTTGATCATCGTACAGAAAATGGATGTGTTTTTTATGGCTCTCAAAAGAGGGCTCATCATGAAACCTTTGGGATTTGAATTTGAAAAAGTTGAAGAATTTCATTTAAAAATTTCGAGGAAAATTTGAAGCGGTAACAGTAGGAAATGTAATGCATTTCGCCAAAACTATACTCAATTTTCATGACTTCTCATATTTTAGAGAAAATTCAGAAAGAACGACCCTAGCTACTAAGTTATTTTCTGATTCACCCCTTTAATTGATGCATTCACATGACCTCTGTTTGTACTCTAACTAATGGTTGAATATAACTATGATCTCTTTATGCCAAAGCTTGAAAAAAAAATCTAATCCCTTGTTTTCTCATTCTGAACATGCTTTCTCATACTGAAATGTAAAATAAAATTACAATATTGAAGGGTATTCCTGTAAACAATCGATGTATCAATATCTGATTAGGAAAGAAAAAAGAAAAAATTTGCTAAAAAAGAGAGGAAGCTTTCGTTAATCGTACACCACCCGAAATGTCTAAATTCTCAAATTAAACTCCATTTTCTTCTCTTTCAATGGCAGAGCCTAGGCCTTACAGAGAACCCTGAAGTCCATGGGTGAATCTGCAACTAATTCAAGCAAAAATCGTGGCCGTCCAACGATTTTGAAAGATGCTCGAGGCAAAATAGTGGCCATCCAAAGATTCAGAAACTCATCCTCTGAAACCCCAAATCTCCAATGGTTCTGGCTATGCATCGATCCAATGATACGATATGGAGGGTTTATAGCTCTTTTATTTGATATTTGAAATATTCATGCTTTGAACTTTTGAAATCTAGGGTTTTTACTCTAATAGTGTTGCTGAAGGTTAGAGATTTTTAGTCCTTGGTGTTGGTAAGAAATCGTGTTTTTTTTTCCTCTGAAATGTTTTCGGTGATCCAATCAACGAATCAACAGTCGATATGGGCATTTAGTCCTTAACGCCCATGAAGAAATCAAGTGTTTGGAGCAAGAAGTCTAGCGTTTGCGTCTTTACAATGGCTCTGGAGATCAAAGAAACAGTCAATTAGGGGATTTTTAGTCCTTCAATTTGGTGAAGAACTCTGGGGTTTTTGTTATTGAAAATGTCTCTGAGGATCAAAGCGGTGGTGGATAAGTTTGTGAAGGAGTTAAAGGAGGTTCTAGATGCAGATATTCAGGATCGAATCATGAAGGAGAGAGAGATGCAAAGCTACATCGAAGAAAGGGAGCGAGAGGTTGCAGAGAGAGAGGCACCTTGGAAAGCTGAGCTTTCACGAAGAGAGGTAAACTGCTGACACTGTGGGATGATAATTAATAGGATTAACATTTTAAACTGCTTCAAATTTTCCTCGAAATTTTTAAATGAAATTCTTCAACTTTTCAAATTCAAATCCCAACGGTCTCATGATGATACCTTTTCTGAGAGCCATAAAAAACGCACCCCTTTTCTCTACAATTATCAAATCCTCGCCATTTTCAAACCACGAACCAGCTTCTACTAACTTGGTTAATGAATTTAACAGTTTCTGCAACCTCAAAAACTTGAAAAAAGCCCTACCCACCATGGCCATTTTAGAAAGAAATAGAGTTTTCGGAGACCCCATCTCATATTCAGAGCTAATCAACTGTTGCATCAGGCACAAAGCAATCAAAGAAGGTAAGCTCATACATGCTCATATCTCATCTCCTGGTTTCATCCCAAATACATTCTTACTCAACAACATTCTTAATATGTATTCAAAATTTGGCCTTTCAAAGGAAGCCCGCAAAGTTTTCGATAAAATGCTTCATAGAAACGTTGTTTCTTGGACCACCATGATATCGGCATACACTAATACAGGTTCCAATGAGGAAGCTTTGGGACTCCTGGTTTTGATGCATAGAGAGGGTATAATGCCCAATATGTACACTTTTTCTGCTATTTTAAGAGCATGTGGCAAGATTAGAACACTTGAACAGGTGCATGCTTTGATTTTAGAATGTGGGTTAGAATCTGATGTCTTTGTTAGAAGTGCTTTGATCGATATGTATGCAAAAAATGGAGATTTGGAAAGTGGGCTTCGTGTTTTCAATGAAATGGAAACTGGCGATCGAGTTGTTTGGAACTCTATAATTGGGGCAATTGCCCAAAATGGTGATGTAGTTAAGGTATTTAAGTTCTTCGCGAGAATGAAACGGGCTGGCTTTTTCCCAAATGAAGCTACCTTAACCAGTGTCCTTAGAGCTTGTACAGGCTTGGTTTCACTAGAGCTAGGCCAACAAGTACATGCCCTTAGTTTCAAAACTGGCAGGGACTTGATAGTAAATAACGCACTCTTGGACTTGTACTCCAAGTGTGGAAGTCTAGAGGAAGCGAGCTTGGCTTTCGATAAGATGGTAGAGCGAGATGTGATCTCATGGAGTACTATGTTGTTGGGTATGGCTCAAAATGGCCATGGAAAAGGGGCCCTCAACCTCTTTGAAAGAATGAAAGAAACAGGGATCAAACCAAATTATATAACTATGGTGGGTGTTCTTTTTGCTTGTAGCCATGCTGGTTTGGTTAATGATGGATGGAACTATTTCAAATCAATGGAAAAGATTTATGGGGTCAAGCCAGGTAAGGAGCATTATGGATGCATGGTCGATCTCTTAGGGCGAGCAGGGTGTCTCGAAGAAGCTGCAAATTTCATTAGAGAGATGAAATGTGAACCAGATGCTGTTATTTGGAGGACTCTTCTTGGAGCTTGCAGAGTCCACCAAAACGTGGAATTAGCAATACATGCTGCAAAGCGTGTAATCGAACTTGAACCAGAACATGAAGGGAATTACATACTTCTCTCTAACATTTATGCCACTTCTTCTCGGTGGGACAACGTTGTAGAAGTGAGGAGAGAGATGAGTGAGAGAGGAGTGAGAAAGGAGCCAGGATGTAGCTGGATTGATGTAGAGAGAGAAATCCATGTCTTTGTTCTGGGAGATACTTCGCACCCCAGAATGGAGGCCATAGTTAAAGAGCTCAACAGGTTGATGGGAAGAATTAAGGATATAGGATATGTTCCTGATACAAATTTTGTGTTACATGACCTCGAAGATGAACAAAAGGAGGAGGCACTTCGATACCACAGTGAGAAGATGGCCATGGCATTTGGGTTGATTAGCATTCCTAAGGGGAGGCCTGTTAGGATTATGAAGAACTTAAGGATATGTGGTGATTGCCATATATTTGCGAAATTTGTGACCAAGATTGAGAATCGGAGTATAGTGATTAGGGATCCAATGCATTTTCATCATTTTAAGGACGGAGAATGCTCATGTGGGGATTACTGGTGATAATCGAGAAGAGATATGTATGAGGAAAATGGTTGTTGCATCTCCTTGGAGAAATTTTCTCAGGAAAAACAGGACTGTCAAGACAGCAATTTTATGCCCAAAAACCCATGCAACAAAGGCCTTTGGTACACTATACATACTGGAACCTTCAGATCACATACGAATCAGCACTTGGAAATGCAAAGGGACAAAGAGAGGAATGTATAAATTGGCTTGTAGCCATTTTGAATGTTACGGGAGAGGGAGGAATGTATAAATTGGCTTGTAGCCATTTTGAATGTTGAAATTTTGAAACTTGAAATATGAGCTCTACCAGTTTGTTGTATATAATGTGTTGTAAAATGAAGCATGGCTCCGTGAAACATGAGTTTTTGATAAGTATGGCTCTATTAGAAATGAGTTCAAGTTCAAAGGTGACCCATTTGTGTGTAAGAGATGGAGAATATTTCTCCATGTATATAATGAATGTACCTGTGTCAGTTGTTCATGGACTAATATCCTGTATTCCTGCTGCTAATAAATTCAACAATCAATGAAAGCTTGATCACATGATCGACTTCAACATTTGTAATACAACTTGTTGCACTTTTGATTCTTTTGCAGCAGATCCCAATTCACGTATGTTGTCTTTGCTTGCATTTTTTTTTGTAATTTTCTTATTTGCAATTCCACAAAGAATTCATTCGAGAAAGGATAAATCCGTACCACGAATTGATGATATGCTGCTACATTTTATTGTAAGGTTATGATTGTCATAAATAAATTTGTTGTTAACTTGTTGTGTTATAAATAAATTTGTTGTTTTATAGGATCATGTTATTGCCATAATTAGGTTGCATATTTGTGTGAGTCACAGTTTCTTTTGTATTTCCATATGGAAGGTACTTGTCATACTTTTTACGTTTTTGTAGGCTCTTTTCTTATGCTTCTTTGTCATTGAAGTGTTATCATAAGAATGTACATCCTAAATTTTTGAAGCCAAATGGAAGAAAGAGGAAATTTTATTTTGATTTCCATAAAATTTTTGTAATTCATATAGGATTTAGTATTGGGAAATTGGAATCTGAATTATTTTGTTTGGCAGCAATTACCGAAAATAGATCAAAAGCACCATCAAAGAGGTCAAGTTTTATTACAAAATCTAGGACTTAAAACATCCCATTTACCAATACAGAGTTTATTTTTATGTTGAATTTCATTAAGATACCTCCCTCAAAAATATGTGCAAAAAACTTCCAAACTACCCCAATTTTTTTGGGTTTGAACCCCAAAAAGTAGGGGTATTTTGGTAATTTTAGCACAGCTTTGAGTGGATCGAGTCAAATCACCAAATTCATTACCAAATACAAGTACTTCTTGTTGCTCAGGGATAGGAACACACAATTGTTCAGAGTTGGGAACACAAAATTATTTAATGATAAAAATAACCCAAGTTTTGCACTGCAACCCTAATCAACCAAGGCTAGCATGATTAGATATAACTATCAAGAAAAATAAGAAAGGAAAGAAATAAAGATAAGGGAATAGGTATTTTTTTTAGCATTTTATAGGTTCATGTTTTCAGGTATATTAGATTGACGGCCTTTAGCAAGTAAAATGCTTTAACAGTCCAATAATTGACTTTCTAAGTTCTGCAGTTCCTTAACCTTCAAAGTGAAGTTCAAACCTTTACCTAGGAAAGCAGTAATGAGGCAATGGTACGAAGAATTTTATGAAACTTACAACAAACCCTCAATCCATCATATTCTCGTGAAGAAATTTGATGAATTCAACAAGTGAAAGTAAATCAAGACAAAATACGAATGCCACAAAATAATGTATAGATATGAGAGCTGTGCACTATGGATCACAATAATTTATAAATTTTGAGTTAAATTTGCAACTCTTGCGCTATACTTTAAGATCATCAATAGAAGAGATTTATCACAATAAATTAAAAAAAATGAGTTTTACCTCGATTGAAAAAAAAAATGTGATCCTAAAAGTTAAATACATTTTAAATGGTAAGGTAAGCTACTTTATAAGTGCTACAACCCAGTGAAACAATAACAAAGACAACAGATAAACTGGACCTAAGGTCTTTGTCAGAGTTGGTTGCAACCCACATAGAGGAACCCGCACTCTGATAACAAAGATGAAAGGGCAACTTTGAACATAAAGTGAATGCCTTTTCAAAATGATTGTGACGTTCACCAAGCTAAACTAATTTCCTACCAACCAAAATAGAGATTCATGAGTGGTTTCAACCATGATCAAAGAAACTGGCCATAATAATTTCGAAAAAAAAAAAAAGAAATTCAAATTTTGAAAGAAGAGTAACCATAAAAAATGAAAATCATTTCATAATGGATCTGAAATGAAATTGCATGAAAGAGAATTAAAAAAGATGTACTGCAAAAAGGAAACGTCAAGAAAGCGGTGAATGTAAATATATCCAATTGAATGACTGTGAACAACATTGTTTGACATAAAGAGTTTCCACGTTATTCTCAAAGAATCATCAGAGAGTTCAGTAAAAAAGTTTGAGATTCTAAAACATAATAATTTAGTGATAATACAATTGCATTTAACAATTACTAAATCTGAAACAATTGAAATATCAAAAAAAAGAAAAGAAAAAAGGAACTACACTCCAACAGAAACAATGATGAGGCAATCTCAATTTGGAAAATCGACACTTGAAGCAACATCCTCCACAAATTGCAAGGAATGAAATAAAAACCATAAATTGTGAACAATATAAGAAACATACATTGATGACATGTTAAAAAAAAAGCTCAAAATACTTCAAATTGAGTCCAATTATGCAAATTAGATCAATTCAGAGAGAAGAAAAACACAAATCAGGGTCCTGAACAAAGCAAAGCCTAACGCTAATTGTTCACAACATGCCGAGACAAATATCAATGGTTCAATACGAAAATACCAACCCTAAAATATCATCATAAACCCAAGGGAAGAAAAGCATTGCAAAAAGAGGCAAATTCGACCACTGGTGTCGATGACAATTATATTCTCTAATATTGAGATCTTGAGACAACTGTATATTTTCATCAAGAGCCAAATTTGACCACTGTATATTCGAAGCATCAAACCCAAATCAAAATAGTGGTAAAACACGTAAAATCGAGAATATGTGAATTCCGGGAGCAATGTGAACTATAAAAATGTTGATATGGAGATCTGCTAATAAATGCTTTGATACTCCCATAACTTCCATGGAAAAGATGGATTTTCATCAGTGAAGCTCCAACTAGAATGCACATATAACCTCACAAGTAGCCAAAACAAAAAAGCTTAAATTCTGAAAATTTTATACGATAAACTGTTGAAATGGGTTCTAATGCTTCAATGGATTGTATGGTGTCACTGTATCTGCGTCAAAGAGGCTCTGATCGTAATACATTTACACTGTAGAATTGGATAAAGGCAAAATGATGAAAGATGATTCCAACATCTGTTGATTTACCAATACTTGAATAGTTGACAAGAGATTCTGAAAATTCCAATATGGAACCTCAAACGAGAACAGAAAAAGAATAATATTCTTTAAAAGCTGAAAAATTGGCAAATTGCTTGGAGAATTACGCAAAAGAGAGTAAATGGACAATCCCATAACTAATACGAGAGATCATGGATCAAAAATAAAAAAAACTTATAATTCAAAATCAAAAGAAAACAAAAACCTAGATTGCCACTAAAAGGGCTCCGATCCAAATAATTCAGAGAGAATAAGTAACAAACCATAGCTTTCCAGTAGATCAGCTCAGATCAAAAGTAGGCGCACAAATATCAAATGTAAAAGACAATAAAAAAAAAAGAAATGATGAAGAATCAGATACTAACCAGTTAAATAGAGGATGCTTTTTGCAAATTGTTAGCAGAGGCAAGAATTCATTTACTTTTCTATATAATATGTATTTTATATTTTTTCGTTTTTTAGGCATTGACGTTTTGGTTTTTTTTTCTTAATTTTTTAGGCTTTTTAGTCTCCGATTGTAAGATCCAGTTTAGGCGAAGCAAAAAACCCAGATCAGAATATCATTCAAAAGAAACCAAATTGTAAGATGGTATACTTGGGGTCTCTATCGAAAATGTTGGAAACAAAATAATCCAGTCCATGTTCATGTGCATTGCATACAATTGAACGAAAAGGATATCCCTTAGAATAGAAACTCTGGGAAAAAATAATAAAAATAAAATAAAAATAAAAACTAAAAAGAATATAAAAGGTTCCACTTCATGTTCAAATTACAGCAAAGTTCATCTCTTTATAGTTATGAAATATAAAGAGTTGCTCAAAAGAGCATGCTCATATGCAGAGTTATTCCTGATGATGGTTGAGCAAGGGAGCAAAGAAGTTGAGACTTCTATGAGACTTAGAGGGAAGTGGCATCAGTAAATGCAGGGAAAACATGGAAAATTAGGTGAAACGAATGGGTAATCAGAAAAATATTAGAATTCAAGTCATATTTCAAGGAAATGGGGTTCCCAACTGTGGTCAAATTTCAGTTTTTTTTCCCTCCTTATAATATATAGTAAGATTGTAAGACTCAAAGTCATTTTTGGGTAGTTTTAGCAGTAAGAATTGATATTGGGACGTTGTGCTGCAATGGCCAAACAGCTAACCAATAAAGCCCAAGCCCAATTTGCAGGAATCAAGTCAAACTCAGGAAAGCTATTCAACTTATTGGAATTAAAAAATACACCACACTGCAATACCAAGAAAATAAATAATATGATAGATAAATAAGTAAACCATGGTAATGCTTTGAAAAACTCAATTTTATTGGATCACTAGAAGAAAATAAGAAAAAATCAAAGAGAACATAATGATCCACTCAGAGAATGCTCTGAACTACTCAATTTTATTGAATCACTTGAAGGAAATAAGAAAAAATCAAAGAGAACATAATGATCTACTCAAGAGACAGCGCTTCCCATTGTTCATTGAAAGCGATTCCCCATGTCTTGGTGGAGTCTACTTGAGGCCATTCCTAAACTCCATGGAGGCTACACACTCTGACCATTAATTACCATCGGATGCTATCTTCAACATGAAAAAAGTGGGAGATTTTACATGCTCATCAAGAATCGAACATAGCTTCTTCCTATTGTTTGGCGAAGAGAGTACTAGCACTCTCAGAAGCCACTGTTTGGAGGACTCACTCCCAGATTTCCTATTCTTATCTCTTTATGATGCTGCAAGAAGTCCTTATAAGAGAGCTGTAACATAACTTTTATATTGCATTTTTTTCTCTTCTCATCAATGACCATGGGCAGGGGCCCAAAATCCCCATTGATTTACCCAAAACAAATAACAATCCAGTAGCTCAAGAAAATGAAAAATATAAAACATCCATTTCATCAAAATTTAAAAATGTAAATCTAGCAGCACTGTTGGAAAACTCAACGAGTTCAAATCGGACTTGCCTGAGTTACTTGGACTCAGCAAGCAGGCTCCAACCAAGCCCAGAACCAAACACAAGGGAACTGGCCAGGCCAGTCCCAATATTTCTATTCTTTTGGGACTCGGCCAAGTCACTGCCAGATTTGGTTGTCTGGGCGGTTGTCTGGGCTTGGAACCCTATCGAGTTTCAAC